GCGTAATCAATGCCACTGTGAACAAAACATCTGGTCGAAGCAGTGATGCGGGGGGAAGGAAGGCTCCCCATCAACTGCTGAGGAATGTTGGCTCTTTCCCGAGCGCAGCGTACACAATTCCGAATAACTGCTCGGGCCGTGTTCCGAGCTCTCATGATCCAAAACCTGACGCAGAATGGCAAGAGTAAGAGACGGCCCAGCGTGAAGCATTCGCATGTGTACATCGGCAATGATCGACTTGACTAACGGATGAGAGGCTAATATTACCGGATGCTTTTGATTGAATGGAAGATCAGATTCTTCAAGCCGACCGCCGATTCGCAACAAGCCGTCGGAGTCAAAGAAAGGCCTGAACGATAGAAGCGATGATTTGGGCGATAGCGGTTTGGAATGAGATAACGCCTGGTTTTCACCCGAAAACAATTCTCGTTGCATCCGACAAAGCCATTAAACACGGGCTCGCTGGACTTCAGAGGCAATTACGAATCCCCCTGTCAAGAATTTCGAATTGCATGCACGTGCGCGACAATTCTGACAGAAGTGCATTACGTAGACAGTGACGCGCAGAAGCTTCGTCCACGACGAAAAGCTGGACTCAAGATCCCACTTGAGCGTTGAAGTTGAAACATGCGAGGAGACACTTTCTCCAGATCCGCGTCGCGCACAGAGATTGAATGCTCTGGGAGCGGCCAGCAATCTTCTGACTTTCTAAGCCAAGATGGACCGTCCCACCAGAGTCTAAGATCGCCGAGCTCGTCGCCGCCCACACCCCGCGACGCGCAGTCGGCCGGATTGGCGTGCGTCGGCACGTGTCGCCAGGTCGCGCGAGGAGTCCTAGCTTGAATCTCCGCCACTCGATTGGCGACGAAGGTCTTCCATTTGGAAGCCTGCTGGCTGAGCCAGGCCAACACTACCGTCGAGTCGGTCCAAAAGTAACACGGAAGGTCCGTGAGAACAAGGGCTTCTTGAACAAAATTCAGTAGCCGCGCGAGTAGCAGGGCGGCGCAAAGCTCGAGCTGAGGAATGCTCAAGGTGGCCACCGGAGCAACTCTCGATTTAGCCGTCAGTAAAGCAACGTTGACGGTGCTGAAACGAGATCTAGTTCGCAAATAGACTACCGCGGCGAACGCAACGGACGATGCGTCGGAAAATCCGTGCAACTCCGTTAGAACGTCGTCGGATTGCTGACCGGTCCATCCGGGAACACAAAGGCCGTTTAGACTTGGAAGAGATCGATATAATTTCTCTCAACGTCGAAGCAAGTCGTCTGGAAGCGAATCGTCCCAGGCGACTTTCAATCGCCATAGAGATTGAATGAACACTTTGGCGACAATAGTAACAGGCGTGACCCATCCTAGTGGGTCGAATAGTGGTTCGAAATAAACGAAAGGATGGAGAGCTTGGTGTGAGGCACCGAACTGGGAGAGTTCAAATGGAACACGAACGAGTCGGAAGCTGGATTCCATGCGACTCCCAAAATGTTGACGCGGTCATCAAGCCTGAAGGATTTGGAAGCAACGAGTTCCGGGCTCGACTGATTCTCCGCGACCATCCTCGAAACGTCATTGCCAGCCCACTTGTGCAGCTGGGATCTACCTTTATGAAGCAATAGCTCTAGTTGAAGGCGTGCTTCCTGAAGAGTAGCAACGTCGAATGCGCCGAACAACACGTCGTCGATGTAGATATTGTCCTTTAAAATCGTGGACGCGAGAGGAAATGGAGAACCTTCATCCGCCACCAGCTGTTGTAAAAAAGAGCAAGAAACGGAGCGGAAGCGGTACCATATGTCACGGTGAGGAGCTGATAAGCTCTCGGTTGTTTGGAAGGATCCGCGCTCCAAAGAATGCGCTGATAATTGATGTCTCGTTCGTCAATCCATAGTTGCCTATACATCTGCTTGATGTCAGCGGCTAAGACGAATTCATACTGTCTCCAACGCAGCATGACGGCGGGCAACTCAGTCTGAAGTTTCGGCCCAGTAAGCTGATGGTCATTCAATGACATGCCGTTTGAAGAAACGCTCGAAGCGTTGAAAACTACGCGCAGGCGAGTCGTCGCAGTGAAGGTTCGAATGACGGGATGGTGAGGGATGAAGACGACCTGATCTTCCAACGGACAATCGCCCCCCGCTTCCCGCATGTGACCCTGAACTTCGTAATCGCGAAGGAATTCCACGTACTCAACCTTTTGGTCCGGATGGACGAGTAAACGACGATGGAAGCTGTGCAGCAGGTGCGTCGCCTGAGCGCGTGATTCGCCTATGCCAATCGGAAGTCCCTCGCGGAAGGGAATCAGCACGATGTAGCGATCGCTTACATCGCGAGAGTGAGAAGCCTGAAAATGCTCCTCGCATTTTTCGCATTTCTGTGATATTTTTTGGAACATTTGAAGTTCGTTTTTCTTTTAGTGATAATTTTTACTTATCGATTATAGTACGATATGTTTTTTTTTTTTTGGTGACGCAGGGGAAATCTATCATGGATACCCCCGACTCTTTGGGGGGTCGGGGGTTATGTCGGACTGCATTTTTCGTCCTCCCAACTGAGGATTGGTTTTGGGGGAACTTCTTCCAATTCCCAAAATCGTCGGAGTTCGCTTTCGAGCGAAATAGACTCCGAGCAATGGAGCGTGTTTATAAAAAGGGGTGGTGATCCGGTCCGAGGACTGCGGAACGAGACAGATGAACCAGACGAAGAAGGAACCACGGAGCCGCTCAACGGTCCCGAGAGCACCCATCCGAAAACGGTATTCTGAGCGGTGAGTGTCCCATGCGATCTCCGGCGAACGCCCGAGAGCAGAAGATCGCCATACGTCGGCGCCGATGATTAGCCCAATTGGCTCGGAGCTACACGGATCGGGATCGGCCCATGGTACATCCCGAAGATAATCAAGAGCGGGGCTCGCGGCGACCCGCTGAGGGACATAGGCTGTGAGAGTCTTTAAAACAATCGCGGTTATCGGAAACTCGGGGAAGCATGCATCGCGAGGCGTGATTATAACGTGAATTACACGCTGCGAGGATCCTGCGCGCACGCACCCGACTCCCGAAATTTCAATGGGCAGACGCACTCGTTTGGCTCGCAGCAACTGAGTCAGAATCTCCGTCGCGAATGACATTTCCGAGCCCTGGTCCAACAGGGCTCGAACGCGAACCGCTCGTCCCGAAGGCACGCGAACCGTAACCCACGCGGTGGCAAGTAGAACGCGAGGACGAGCTGTCGGCCGGGAAGTGACGCACAACGCTGACATCTCCTTTGCGACAGCCTCCTGACTGTCATCCCGACGCGCATGCAACTCGACAGCAGCGCATGGTTCGCGGGAAATCGCACTTGAGCGAGAATCCAGATCGGTGTGCAACAATAAGTGATGTCGACCTTGACATACTCTACACGTATATTTACTTTGACACTGCGAGACCGAGTGACCGGAACTCAGGCAATTAAAGCAGCGCTTGTACTTCCGAATGTAACCGCGACGTCGATCCGGACTCCATCCTGTAAACGTCGTACAAGCATGCAACGGATGTCTCGCTTTACAAAGGGCACAGCTCGATGATGCGACGGCAACGGCCGCCGCACTGACAATCCGGCGCAACTGCGGAGGCTTGGAAGACACTCGTGGAATCCTCGATTCAGCTGGTTCATCGAGGGCGCGAGTACGATCAGCCAAGAACTTAATGAATTCTTCAAATGGCGGAGATTCAGCCGCTTCGACCGACTTCAGATTCCATGCCTTTTGCGTGGCGGAATCAAGCTTTTGAGTAACCACGAAAACAAGGATGTCGCTCCACAGTTGCGCAGGAGTGCGATTAATATTTTGTAATGCCGCGAGAGTCGTAGTAACTTCATCGCATAACGTCTGCAGCTCGGCGGCAGATTCCCGAGAGACCGGACTAAGATTTAACAATGTCGAGAAATGACAATTGAGCAACCGGCGTTTGTTTTCAAATCGCTGAGTGAGCGCGTTCCACGTGGCATTGAAACTGTCCGCCGTAACAGAAAGCGAACGAATACATTCCATCGCCCGATCAGAGAGATACGACGACAGATAATGCATGCGTGCAAAATCCGAAAGATCACTATTTTGAACAATGAGTGACGCGAAGCGATCACGAAAATGTTCCCAGCCGTCATAATCCCCGTTGAACGGTGGCAAGTGGCTAATGGACGGAAAACTCAGCAGAGCGACACGACCTCGCGGAGATGCACTTCTGGGACCGGCGAATGACTCACGGACAGGCTTTACCGTCTCCAACGCCTCGGTCATGACGTCCACCGCGTCCGCGTACAAGTCCTCGGTCTTGTCAAAATGGTTGGCCTTGAAGTACTCGAGATGAGCGCGCTCAGCCTCCAGGATCGCTCAGCCTCCGCATCGCTCTTTGCAGCAGGTTATGACCGTCCTGGAAGAGGTCCCACTGATCCTTCAACATCTTCATTCGACTTCTCACCTTTGCCGCAGTCAGGGGGTCGATCATGAATCTTTTCACGTGAATTTGATTTTACCTATCGATCATGTAATTTTTTCTCTAGGATAAAATCGTGAAAAAAGGAAAATTTTGCGATGTTTGTAATAATCTTAATAAAATTTGCTTTATTTATTACACATTTTATAAAATGTTTATAATGCATAATATATAGTTACTATTTCTTCTATTTAGACTTCTAAAAAATTGTTTGTATCAATACGATTTTAGCAATCATGTAACCTTACAAAGCTAAACTTACTAAACCAATCTGTAGTCATACCAATTTTACATACGAAAAACTATGCGTATAGTAAATATATTTTTCACATTTTAGCCATCAAGCGACTTGGCTAAAAAGTGAAAAATAATGCATACGTATTTCATATTTATATTTAAAATATCTAGTGATATTTTGTAACTTTCAATAATATATCTATAATAAATAATGCGCTTTCCTCTGTAAAAGATAGTTCATGATTGATAATTCATGCGACGCATGTTTCTTTGCAGTGTGTTAATCTGTGCATATAAAATATTTTATAATAATTTATTTTCGTTCATATATTGTTAAAATGAATACGACGCAAGAACAAAAAGAAATGATACTTCAGTGGATGAAGTTAAATCCCGAAGTAGCAAGAGGGAGATTACGTAGAAAAGGCGAAAGTCGAAATGAAATGGTAAGTACTGTTTGTATATTTTGAGAGAGAATACAATTGTTTTATATGTAATGTTATAATTGTAGAAGAAATTATTGGAAGACTTGGCAAGAACAATAATGCAGCTAACGTTGGTCCTATCAAAAGTAGTGCAGACTGGTTAAAGGTTAGGTTAAATTCTGTTTTGATAATTACACATTTATGAAAGAGAGATAACCTCATAGATCAGCAAAAGAAGATTAACAAAAGTTTCTGCACAAGTCAAATCGGAAAGGAAGCGTTATTCATCATTATGAATATATCTATTAAATCTTCATTGCAGTAAATTAATGAGTCTACAACATAAAAATGATTTATAAATGTGCAGTAAAACGCTCTTCTTTCCGATTTATCATGCACAGGAACTGTTGCTAATTTTCATATTATCTATATTTTTAATATGATAGATGATGAATGTAATAAGGTGAAAAATTTCAATAATTGTTAAACAACCCATACAACATAATGTCTAAAATCAGAACATAAGACATCTAAAAAACTTCTCTCAGATATCGGAATGTAAGACATCACTAAGACGTCTTTAAGATGTCTTATTTCCCGATTTTAGACGTTATGTTGTATGGGAAGATGCCCATATAGAATAAATATCTGAAATACATGGTCATGGATATTCTATAGATATCGCAATATTTATAGGATATCCATGAGGTGTATTTTGGATATTTAGTCTGTATGGTGTATATTGTTAAGAAAGTAAAAAATATATACACAAAAGTTTAAATTATTCTAAATATATTATGTACAGAATATCTAATATAGCTCTATTTATATTATTGATATTAATATATATTGCCAATATAATTTATAAAATATTTAAAGATATTCCAAAAAGGAGCTGCGCCACTCCGTTATTTTTATATTGAGTATTTTTATGCACGATTTATCACATTACATATTTCTGCATCACCGCTGACAGATTTCCTAGTCAAAAATATACCTTTTATCATTTGATAACTTCTTTTTTAATCGAAAACGTTATATTTTACTTGCGGATCTGTATCTTATATATTGAGATATAAAATATTAAGTTTCAGCAAAATCTGAGGAGGTCACCTCCCCTTTATAATATAAAATTTTAATGTTATTACAATATAAAAAAATGACTCATGTTTTACATTTATAGACTTGGAAAGATTGGAAAACGTACGTCCTAAAAAAAGAAACGAGAAGAAGAAATCACGGTTTAATAACAGGAGGAGGATCACCAATAAACATATATTTTTCTCCTTTAGAAGAGGAATTATTAAATTTTATTACTCCCGAAGTAGCAGGTATGGATAATATTCCGCAAGAGGGAATATATTTAGATGACACATGCATAGAAACAGATTCAGATATGTAAGATAAAGAAAATTTATATTTTGAAGAAAATAAAAAATTGCCACAGAAAAGATTATATAAAAACTATGAATTTCAAAGTAATACAGGTAAGATATATAACATACTTATTCTTATCTATTTTTTTGTCTTATTATTATATTTATTTGAGAAAAAGTAAAACAAATTCTATATTTATATATTATAAAATTAATATAAAATGTACATTGATATTATTTGATATTTCTTATTTCAGGAAATACACAATTATTATCACATAAGACAATGCATATCGAAGAAAACGCAGAAACATCGACAACGCCGAAGATGATTCATATTCCAGAAAATCAAAAAGATTCAAAGTTGCAATTATCAAATGAAATGCTTCATGTTTACAAAGAAAAATTAAACTTAAAAAAAGATGAGTTATTTATTCAACGGCAAATATTGGAAGTGCAACGAGCAATTCTAAGTGAATTACAGAAAATTGGAAACACTGTATATACATTTGGTTGCTTGGAATAAGATCTCAAAGGATATGCATGTTTTAAAGATATTTTAAGAAAAAGATATAGCATGTCTATTAGGATCGTATGATGCTACAGGTTAGGATTGAGGTTCAATTGAAACTTAACTAACAGTTAAGAAAGTTAATATTAAGTTTAGTGAATTTTGTTCTAATTGGTCAAATTTCCATCAAATCTCAACCTCAACTGTAGTGTAAAACGGGTCTTATGCTATCTTTTTATTAAGATGTTTGTTTTCTGTGATATTTTTTGGAACATTTGAAGTTCGTTTTTCTTTTAGTGATAATTTTTACTTATCGATTATAGTACGATATGTTTTTTTTTTTTTTTGGTGACGCAGGGGAAATCTATCATGGATACCCCCGACTCTTTGGGGGGTCGGGGGTTATGTCGGACTCTTACCGACTAAAATCCTTGCGGGATGCCTACCTGTCGGACCGGAAATGTGGGGAGTCAGGGGAACTACTCCCATATTCCCTCCCCGACACCCCGGCCCCAGGGCTCGTTTATCGAGCTTCCTGCCACCTGTTACCGCGCCCTGTTGCGCAAAGGGAAACTAGTGCGCGGTCCCGGTCGGTCTAAGACCGACCGGTTGGCCTTCTGGTATCACCTATGGGGTGAGGGGGCATCCGCCCTCATCCCTTACCTCCCCTCCCCGTTAAGCAGGGAGGGAGGGTTTCTGGGGGAGTGGGCCCGTCCCCAAAACGGGCACCATTCCCCCTATCCTTCCATGTCCGTGGCCAGGGGGAACCCATCTTCCACCTTTAGAAGGACGAAGAGCCGGATCCCCCCTGCCGACGGAGCCGGGCCCGAGGCGGTCGAGGAGGGCTTGGACCCCCGCTACTCGGGGTACTTCCACTTCCTTGGCCGGTGTCACCTCAGGCCCGCTGCCTAGTTCAGCCCCCCCCCCCATGGGCCGTCGACCACCCCGTCGTCGTCTGCGACGACGGGTTGAGTGTGGTCAGCGCTCCCTCTCGGCGGCCTCCTTCTTGGACATTACGTCCTTACTGAAGGAGGCCGCCACTTCCCAACCCTCCTCGCTCCCGCACATGGATTGAACCATGCGCGGGAGCGAGATTTCCCTAATATGGCACCCCATTGCTCCGACCAGGACACGGCGCTCCCCTTCCCAGGCTGGACAATCAGCCAGGGTGTGGTGCGCCGTGTCCATAAGCACGGGGCAGTGGTGGCATCTGGTGGTGAGCTCCTTCCCGATCCGGTGCAGATACTTGCCAAAACACCCATGGCCCGTCGCAGCGCCTGCCGCATGCGGCTTAAGCCATCGCGGCAAGCTGAGCTGGGGCGCCCAGATCGGCGCCCCGTACAGGGCGATCGACAACATGGCCGTCGCATATAGGCGGCGAGCCCTCGTAGTAAGATATGTCTATCTGCTTGATAAGAAAACATGTAAAAGTTCCTTTTAAACATATTTAGTTCTAATATGATTTATTATTAATAATATATAATTACTTTTTGTTTGATTTAAATTATTACAATATTTTCATTTTGCAATATTTTCTTGTGATACAACTTAATATAAAATGTCTATTTTTGTAAAGCATATAAACTAATATTTGTAGTGTATATAAATACACACAAATACAAGGTTTATTTAAAATAAGTAAGGCTAAGTAAAAAAAAATTTTTTATATTACAAATATTTATTTAAGTAAAATACAAACGTATAATACTATTTCGAGTGCTGTTATCATCCCTGTTTTCATTGCTCCATATTTCATTTCTTTCATTTATGTCAAAGTCATCATAATATATTTCAGGTTCAGGTACGTTGTAAAATTTTGCCACATTATGCAGTACACAGCAAGTATTCACAATAAGTGCTAAAATAATATTTCTTTTTCAACATTGGAATATATAGATCTGTTTATAATCATGTACATATATATTAAATATTTACAAATAGTTATTATATAATTCTTACCAGAAAATTCTGGTGAATAATGAAGTCCTCTTTCTTTTCTCAGGCACCGCCATCTTCCTTTTAACACTCCAATAGTTCGTTCAATACTTGAGCGTGCTCTTACGTGAGCATTAGTGTAGCGAGCTGAAGGTAATCCCTCGGGTTGACCTAATTTAGGTGTCATTAAGTAAGGCAGCAAAGGGTATCCTGAATCTCCTAAAGACAGTCATATCATGTCTTTCACGCATAAGCATCAATATATGCAAAAGTTTCATTATTTATAAAATGTATGTAGATTTTATAAAAATATGATCTTAAAATTTATAAATTTACAATATAAGTAACATACCTAACAATCAACAATTTCTTCGCCCATTATTATATTGCTGTTCTAAATGTGTGGAGATAATTGAAGCATTCCAAACGCGTGCATCGTGTGTTCTTCCACTATGTCTGCTATTTACTGCTAAAATTTTTCCATAATAATCAGAAATCTAAAAATATCAATATTTGAACATAAATAATACGATAATAGTAGATAATAACATAATAAAAATGTATTTATTATGGTAATATCTTATTATTTATTTACTTATACTTACTAGCAAAACTTTTAAAGAATGATATAATTTTCTGTTAATATATAAATGCTCTCGTTCTTTATTTGGAGGTGAAATAGCTATATGAGTACCATCTACAGCACCTATTACACTTGGAAATCCACAGTAGGTCCAAAATCTGAAATAATAATACAAATTTATATAACTATATTTATTATATATGATTGTAATTAGGTTTACACAATATTAACTAACTTACTGTTCCTTAACATGTTCAAGATCATGGTGTCCTTATGGAAATTTAATCCAATACCTCATAATCTCATTGAGAGCTTCCACAATAATATGAATTGCTGCAGACAATGATGCTTGACACATGCAGGTTAAAAAGTCTTGACCAATGCGGCGTTGATAAGACCCAGATGCCATAAAACTCAAACTCGCTAAGATCTGTGCAAAAATATATATTGTTTGATAGTATATAATACACTCGATTGTATTAACTTGATAACAATTGTATTAACAAATTAAATATATTGCTCATATGTAGTAAGAGCTATATATTTGTTTTGCTGACAGTTTGCTGACAGATTCGATGAATGGGTTAACAGATTCATTGATATTTGTATCCATGTTGTATCATATGTTCTGTTCACAGAATCTGCTGACAGAATATGACAACATATTGATAACAAAAAGTAAGCAGATAAATTCTGTTCTGTTTCTACTAACAGTCTGTCATCAAATTCTGCTATTTTCAGCAAGCAGCTAACAGAATCAACAATACAATTGCGCAAAATCCACTTTTAATATTTTAATTAGTTAATATATTGTTGCATTAAAATAATTATTACCTTTAATTCACAAGGTATTATTGCTTTTTTTCTCCCTTCGGGTATATATGGTAATAAATCTTGGCACAATCGCATTGCTGCTTCTCAAGATAACCTACAAATAAATCTAATATTTTATCTATCATATATATTTGATGGCTAATAACTTGCATTATATTCTCATAATGAAATTTATAAATATACAAAATTGAAATATGAAGCACCCTATAGTATATAATAAATATTATTATTACCTGTATAATTCTTGAAATCTTTTCTCTGGAATATCAAATGGATCATGAATGTCTTTTAAAATTTTACGCATTATACGCATTGTACAGGGTGGGGAAAAATTATTGGTCATGCTTTTGCCAGTCGATTCTACTCGTCGAGATCGCCAACATTGCATCATAAACATGGTGCCGCAAAATTAACTTTCAAGGTCATTTTCAATGTCAAATTTTTTTATTGGCTTAGTCTACTCATCGAGCTGAACAAAAGTCTCAAAAGGACCATATGACGGAAATCAATATTTCATAGAGAAATCTTCGTTTGAATTTTTTTGCCTGAAATTTCCAAAAAATCGATTTTTATGAAGTCAGAAAATAAATCTGATGCTTATAAAGTTCTTAAAATCATGTTCTGAATATCCTGATCATGATTAGCGAAAATCACCCCCCCCAAAATGACCCTGAAAAATTTGTTTTCAAGGTCAAAAATCTACTTAATCTACTCTTAGCGCTACCCAGGAACAACGACGTGGACGTGGTAGATTTCTGTTCCCTTCGGGGTGACTTGATTATTGTGAGTTCCCCTCGCCTCTCACTTCGGGGACACTTTATCGTCGTCAACGCTGCCTACGAACAAACAGAACTGACCCATCGGCCCCAATAGCTCTGAGGAGTTGTGCTTGTCTGCCAGCTTCAACGTAACAACCACCGTTATCAATGCAAGCTTGGAGTCTCTTCACCAAATTATTTCGCTCTCTGCGGAGCATAGCTCGGTTTCGTGCTAAAGTAGCAACCGCCTCTTCAATGCGATCTCGTAAATCCTGAGCCGTCCTTAAAGCCCTGCCTGACCCATAAACAATGGCTTTCAGAGCTTCCCAGAAATAAAAGTCGAGAGGGTTCAGGTAAGATGAACGGGCGGGCCATAAGTGTGGCGCAGGATTACGACCAATCCATCGAGTTCCAAAAGCTCGTTGTAAAAAAGCGCGGACCTGCCTGCCGAAATGCGGTGGAGCATGCATAAAAAAAATTCGATTACGGGTATTCCTCGGAACCATACGTCGCAATCGATTCAGGAGAGTATGACGTAGAAACCGCAAATATTCAACGGTTGACAATCGGTTTAAGAGAAACACAGGAGCAATATAATTATTCCCGAGTATCCCTGTCCAAACATTGACTGAAAAACAGCCCTGCTGAACTCTTTGGACCATTGCGTGTGGATTGCGTCTGCGCCAGATGCGAACATTTTGCCGGTTCAAAATGGAAGTGCTGGAAAAACTGGATTCATCAGTGAACACTATATTTTTCAGAAAGTGCCGATTTCTTCGGATCTTGCGAAGCATCCACCAACAAAAACGAAGACGAGCTGTGCGATCCAGGTCGTACCTCATGCACTACCTGCACTTTGTAGGGTCGTAGGCTTTCCTCACTGAGAATGCGCAAGACTGTTTTATGATCAACTCCTACTCGCACGCCAATGCGTCGTGATCCCATGACAAGATAAGTTCGAGCTAGAGCAATCACACGTTCTTCAATTCTCCAAGACACACGAGGACGACCTGCCTTATGGTGGCCAGCACTTGTAAAATTCCTTTGCTTCTGATCATGGAATCGTTCATCGAGTCGTTGAAATTCTCGACGGTCAGGCACGGACCCTAGATGTAATGGTCTGCCATTAGCTTGGCGTCGCAACCAACTAGCATAAAGAGCTCGTACTCGTGTGTATTTATCATGAGCACGATCAATTGCTCGAAGCATTAGATGTTGGTCACGCCCATCCCGATGCGCCCGATCACGGCCACCACGTCGAGGCATGCTACAGCAACGTTATTCTTAGAAAAAATTTGGTAAAAAATTTAAACAATTTTTTTTAATTTTACGCTGAAAATTGATTCAAGATCGGCAGCGGTCTTCTAATAATCACGAAAAAGGTCTGGATATGGATGGAAAGCTTCTTAAGCACAAGTAACGAATGTCTTATGGAGCGATATATTATTCCTCTCCGAGGCAAATGACCGTTGCTTTAAGGAACCAACAGCCGTTGAAACGTTACTGGGTACCAAGATACTCCGAAGGGAACTAAAATCTACCACGCCCACTTTGTTGTTCCTGGGTAGCGTTAATAGTAGATTAAGCGGATTTTACACCCATGACAATTTTGCGAAATTTTTTGGCTTCTAAAAATTTCAAACGAAGATTCCTCTATGAAATATTGATTTCCGTCATATGGTCCCTTCGAGACTTTTATTCAGCTCGACGAGTAGAATCGACTAAGCCAATAAAAAAATTTGACATTGGAAATGACCTTGAAAGTTAATTTTGCGGCACCATGTTTATGATGCAATGTTGGCGATCTCGACGAGTAGAATCGATTGGCAAAAGCATGACCAATAATTTTTTCCCACCCTGTACGCAAATTTTCATTTCTTACATTTTCTTGTTCTTCTTCAAAAATAATACACCACGCAGCAGCCATTATGACTTAATGGGTGCGTTCACGACACTCAACGGTTGAGCAATTGTTGAATAATTTATCAACAATTTATTAGTCTGAATATAAATATCTAACAGTAAGGACCAATAGTCACTAATCGCACACTGAGCGGTTTTCTTCGCTGCACGCAATGATTAATTTTCACGTGAAACATTAATTCACGTTAAAGTTTCCATTTTTGTGAAAAGTTTCACTTTTTCACGAGTTCATCCTAGGGGAAAAGATACATGATCGACCCCCAGATTGTTCCGACCTATCTTTCGGAAATTGTCGAGCGACTGCTCAATCGACCGCTGCAACTGTTGCTGCTTCACGAGGAACTCAGACATGATGCCTCACAGTTCACGGTCTGAATTCACTTACTCCTGAGCAGATCCGCCTCGATCCGGCTCGAATGACCAGAAATATGTTCGCGCGAGCGCGTCGAATTTTTGTCCGTCAGCGAACGAGCGTTCGCTGCCGTCGGTCAGTCACACGCGCGAATCGCATTGGACTGATACCGCCCAGTACAAGGACGCGAGGACGGTTCGGGATCCTTTAAACAAGGAAAATGACAGTAGACCGTGATAGTTTATAAATATTGCATTTATGCTTTGAGACGCGACACGATTCACGCAAGACAGCACATCAACAGAGTCCACGACAATGACAGTTCTTCACTCGATTCACAGGGTTATCGGCGACGAGCGCAACAGTTACCGAAACCGTTATAAATAGAGTTTGCGATGATCGCCGAACGACGGTATCAATTCCGCGTCGACTCACAATAACACGGACGGCGTGAAGCTCGATCGGAAGACGGACTCATGCGAAGCACAACCGCTCGTCTTCACTCGCCGAGTTTGCGGCACGGCAAACTGATAAATGATCCGAGTCCGGAGAGATCGCCGATGAACGGCGTGATCCTACAAGTGGGTAGCACGCGGGATCGCGAATCGATACGAGCAAGGCTACCCGTACCCGAAAAATGGTTATCCGCTCGACTTGTGATTTGGCTCTGACCATTGTCGACCTACCCAACCGCTCTTCAACGTGAGCGATCGATCCACTCATCGATCCGCGTTGCGCAGATATTCGCATTTTATGGCTAATTGCTTCCGCGCACGCGTGTCACAAAATACGCCGAGCGGATTGGTGGTCCCTTCCGGGCGCGCATGCCCTGTACAACTCACGGGCACTACGATCCAGACGAAGCCACGTGAAAACGTGCGAGAGTGCCACACCGGCAAGCGCGACGTCGATCACGCGGCCAACACGAGCCATCGCACATGTAGCGCGGTGTCGATCGCCTATTGGCTAGCGAGCGATGAGCGTTGTCGGCTCGCGCCAGAAGCGCACGACTTGAGCACGCGTGCTTTTTTCCACGACTTAAGGTGGTCGTGTTTATCTGATTGGAGCGAACAACGAGAAAAACGTATCGGAGTTTGCATCGATACGACCGACGTCGCGCCGGTTTCACGTGCTAATCACGAGTCGTTCGAGGCGAAACTAATTTCGCCTTTGCGCGAACATTACCGCGTCACATTTACCACAAGACGTACACCTGTCAATAGTTCCAGAATTAGCAAATTGGCTGCAAATTAGTATTGGGTGTGTGAATATGACTCCGGCCTTTTTTGTTAAAATAAAATACATTTGCTTGTTTAGAAAATTAAAGAAAAGTTTATTGAAAGTATGCTCCATCTGCAGCTACAACCTTCGCCCATCTTTCAGGTAATTTATGTATTCCTTGCCTGAAGAAGTCCTGGTCTTTTGAGCTGATCCAATTATCAAGCCAAATTTTGATACTTTCGTATGAAGTGAACCGTTCTCCCGTAAGATCTGACTGCATCGTCCGGAATGAGTAGTAATCTGAAGGAGCTATGTCTGGTGAATATGGCGGGTGGAGTAGCACTTCCCAGTCCTGTCCATCTAAATATCTTTTCACGACTTCTGCGGTATGCGGTTTGGCATTATCATGCTGAAGAATTAATTTGCTGTGCCTATTCACCCATTCTGGCCGTTTTTCTTCTATGGCTCGCTTCAAACGCATTAGTTGTCGTCGGTAAACTTCTCCTTTAATAGTTTGGCAACAATCCTCTGTCAATAATGCTTCCAATTCAGCATCTTCAAATTTTTTTGGTGGTTTCCCGTGTTCTCTGTCCTCAGTTCCAAAATCATTATTTTGAAATCGTCGAAACCATTCCTTACAAGTTGTATTAGATTGAGCATGATCACCGTAAATCTCCACAAGCAAACGATAAGTTTCCGCTGCACTTTTCTTTGCAATAAAATAGTGTAATAATACTTCCAGCAAATGATGTTTGTTTGGAACGAAAACCGACATTTTCAAGTAGGATAAAACTTGTTGCTTACACTTAAACCAAATTTCACGTAGTGTGTTTGAAAGTTGACATGAAGTACTATCGAATACAAGTGTTGCCAGTTATTAGTACACGTTAACAATACTAAAAGCAACATCTGTTGTGAAAGGGCGGAGTCATATTCACACACCCAATACATATTTAACAATTAACATGTATCACGATACTGAAAGTATTTTTACCATTCTCACATTACCGTTGATAACGTACGGCATTATAAACATAATCCCCGTACCTACTCATGTCCAAGAAGACATATTCGCGGTAACAAAGATTTCGCACTTTAAAATAGCGGTTAACGTAGAAAATCACACTTACCTAGTGTTAGATAAAGGTGAAAGACAAGTGTATAAAAACTAATAATCA